TTGACACCCCCGATGCAGCCGCCATCCGACCTCGCGATTCCCGACGGCCGATTTTTCTGCACCCGCCTCGAGGTCACCAGTTCCTTCACCCCCGACAGCTCTCGCCGCGAACCACTCACGTACCTGCGGATTAATGCAAATATCGTTATTATTCGGATAATATGTAACATAATATGTAACGATGCTTCACCTGTACAATGTGACAAACTTATACTTTGTTCGTTCGTGCGATGCTCTTGCATTCGGCGGTATACATCATCGACATAGACAAATAATTATTCAAAATATTTAGATATTGGAAAAATGATGTTTTCGAAATATTATTTAAAATAGTTCTTTCTTATATAAAGTTTACGTCGGCTATTTCTACCGCGTCTGTACCATTATTTAGAATGCAGAATAATAATGGTGGTAACCGTACGATGTGGCAATGCATGTAGCGATGTGGATTTTGTTTGCTCTTATTTCTTGAGATTCTTACGCATCCTACGGTCATTACTAAAGCAAAAATACATTCAACGATTGTTTAGTCTTTTTCTGTCTAGTCTTTTTCTGTTGCAGTGTGAATCTCTCATTATACTATTTTCTGCCCTGACTTTTTCTATTACTCGTCGACGTTATTTTCCCCGAGTTGCAGAATAACAATGATTATTGCACAACATGTAAATATATTTGCATATTTCATTTATAATATCGCATTCTACAGTTTTACTGTTTAAATTTTAAATATTTTTTTTCCGTATTATTAGTATCTCATATAATTATAAAATGCTTAATTTATACTAGAAAAGATTGATTTTTTTTACAAAAATCATAAAACAAACGACACGGTCGAGGCAACTTCTGTTGGTTCGATAAAAAAGCATGCGACGATGACGTGAGGGAGTATGATGGTTTTATTTATAGCATTTGGATTTATAGTGCAGGAGACGTGTAAATATTTTTTTTTGAATATTGTCCGCATATTGGCACAGGCGTGATACGTGTCCTTCGCCCGTGATTCACGACAATAATAATTATTAATCCTATACCCGAGAGAGGGATTCCATTGCTTTTGTGCGACAGGCGAAAATTGCCTATGGATATTTTTCGCGCATTTGTTTATATTGAGCTTTCTCGTAGAGATGCCATGTTTTAGCGTGAAAAATGTCACCTATACTTTATATACGCACGCATATGTATGAAACAAATAAGTCAATAGTATTCGCACGTTATGAAGACTGCAGAATATAAAAAAAGATGATTTAATTTTAAATTAAATAATTCATCAATCTGTAGTATGAAGAATGGATTTAAACAATGACGAAATTTAAGGAAAATCGAAACAAGATCATGTTTCTAAAGAAAATATTAAAGTGTTGATGTAAAAACGCATTGAAAAGAAAGAAATAATAAACAGGTTTACCACGAAACTTTGGTATGGAATTTTACAGCAAACTCTATAAATTTATCTTGCACGTGCCTTTTTAGGTTGAGCTCATTATTTTAACTGCCTTTATAACAACCAGTCGGGGGTTAATGCGCCTCGTAAAAAATGTGCTTAATCTTAGCACCAAGTTAGGAGCCAAACTGATTCATGAGCTCGATTTTTTGAGGAAAAAACAGTTAAATGAATTTCGAATACGCAGAAACTGAAACTATCAACAACATCAATGTCAATAATTATTGAAATTATCATTTCAATAATTATTGAAATTCGTTTACTTCATGATTATTAAAAAAAGACGTTCTTTGTTTTTTTTTTTTCATTTTTTTATTCTTGATGCTTCTATTTATTATTCATAATTAATCAAATAAAATTCAAAATATGTAAATTCCAATAATTCTAGATATCTTTTTAAGACAATTGTTGTATTCCTGATATAAATCTTATTAAGCTATCGTTATATCCCATGTAAAATTCTTAACCAATTTAAATAATTTTTGTTCTTATTTTAAATAAATTATTTTAATGTGAAAATACCTCTTTTCCTTGAGAATATTTATTTTTCAATTTTAGTACACTAAATCGATAATAAATTGTAAAGGACTCTCTGAAAGCAATTGGACGGATATTTTTCTTCCGCTTTGTTAACATCCTGTTGGATTGTTTTTCACTTTCATGATCAATGAGCTTGCTGATCACTTTGTACAGATTAAATATTTGCGGAAAGCTCTAACCGGAGGCGGAATTGAAGCGGCAACTTTCGAGTTATGCGCGCGATAACTTTGGATTTCTTCTCACAGGAAACTTGTGAATGAAAACTTCGGATGTCATTTCTTGAACTCGTTACTCGCAAACTTCTTGATTACAAGAACAGTTAACATCAATAATTAAAAAGTTGCCAGTAACAGGATAAATTCGAGAAAAAGAAATGTCGTCTACGAATGCGAGAAACAAAGTTCTAATTTTCTTAGAAGTCTAATATATAATTATAGTATTGTACTTCAGTTTAATTTACTTTTGTCAGGAAGAAAGCGAAAGTAAATTGTAAATTAACAAAGAAGCGAAATAATTTTTTCAAGTCAAGATTCTATTAAATTAGCACATTAATTTTTAACAAATCAAATTTTATATTTTTAATAAATTTTAAAAAAAAATCTGTTTTTCTGGCAAAGTACGGATTCTTGGCATAGCGACGTAAACGAATTTCATTAGGTTCTTATGTCTACTTTTAGAAGACCTTTGCCTTCTACTATGACAAAACTCAGTGTAAAAAAGAACGAAGAGAAAAAGATAAAGAAGATGTCTTGAGAAGTTCACACAATTTCTTATCGCAAGTTTGCTGCGTTTCGATGATTAATCTTCCAGAAAGCAACTAAACACACAAAAGTGAAATTGGTTAAAATAATTTTTTTAATTAATTTGGATAATGGTGTTATACCAGAGCATGAAATTTGTTAAATTACTATTATAAAAAATTGAGAGATGATAAACACGAAATAATAAATGCCAAATTACTCCTACTTTTCAAAAAGTCAAGATTTCTTAATTAAAGTGTGTCAAAAGTTATGCAGTTTTTCTTATCTTATAAACAAGATGTAAAAATTACTATACTAAGAAATATAAAAAGTAGTTTTAATATTTTTACTAGATCTCAATTGATCACTTTGATTAAATTTAGGGTTTCTTTCTCGCCGTAAATAAATGCTAAGAAATCGTTTGAAAAAACGCGATTGATATATTTGTGCCATTTAAGTAATGTGTCGAGATCGCATTCCTTCCTAGGATTTTTCCTTTTGCTCTTTCAGATTCTTCATCCTCTACATCCCACATTCATCCCCATATTCAGCTAACATCTTTCAACTAGTCAGCAGAAAGATCTGGACAAACAGGAACGTGAAATTACCGTTCAGCTTGAGCCGCCGCGTTTCTTCCAGTGAATTCCGAATACTCTTCCGGGTCTTCCACCCTCGCTACTTAGAACACTGTCACATCGAGGGAACCGAATGAAATTACTTCGAACGATGGCTTTACCGCGAATAAAGCCGGAACGAAAATTATCATCGGTACGAAAGAAACTTTGCCAGTATCTTTGACAACGTTGACGAGGACGACACTCCCCACCCTCGGCAGTTCGGCACGTACTCTCTTGTCTCCGTCGTTGGGTAAGCAACCCCGCCGCGAGACAACCCCTCGAACCGCCCTGGAAATAACGCACCAATGTCGCTACAGATCGCGCCACCGCGCGGTGACGCCGGATCGATCGTCGTGACGTCACGGCGTCCACGCAAGCGTCACGACGTTGTGAATAAATACCGTTCGTCTCGATGAATAGATCTTGCATTTTGTGTACGAGAGCAAGGAGTCCCTATTAATTGTATGTATACACAGGAATTTTTATATAACAATAAAAAATTAATAAACATTTGTTTTTTTCATATATCTATTTTATAAATGGATTGCCTAAATCATATACGGCGACTAAATCGTGAAAAAATAAAAAATTTTTTAAATGTAAAATACGATATGCTGATTCCTTTTACTATTTGAATATTTGATCGGAAAAGTCGTCTAAAATAGATAAATTGTATGATAATTTATTTAATTATGTATTGACACCTAATCGCACTTACGGATTGGTAAAACATCTATCATGTACGACTTTAAAATTATTTATGAACTAGTATATATTTATAAGTTCAATTAATGACGTACATTATCAGTCTTCCATGATCTTTCAAAATAATAAGATTGCGATTAGATATATTTCCGGTATAAAAGTTAAAGGTTAGTAATACTGCAACTAATTATATAAAAAAATATCTTAATTGAGACATAATTTTAATAAGATCATTTGAATCATCATTTGAAACGTGAAATACATATATATTATTAAAATAAAATTAATGGTACTAAGTAGTGTAATGAAGTTAAACAAAGTTTATATAGTATAGAAAATGTAAAACCGATATTGATTAGTATTCGATTCATATTATATTACGTCAAATT